CTTTAATATATAATATATATATATATATTATATATATTATATATATAATATATATATTGCATGAATTTATTTACTAATTTAATAATTTTATTTAACAAAATAAAAAAAATTTATTTTTATGATAAAATCAATGATAAATTTATTGAATGTGTGAATGAGTGAATTGGACAAATGTTTTTAATGAAATATTTAATATTTCATATTAAAATATATTATTTATAATCATGAAAATAGCAGTGTTTTATTATGTATGGTCAGTATATATATATATATGAATGATATAAAAATCCTTTGATTACAGCCAATTCTTAAATTATTATTAATCAATGTAATATTAGAAAAATATGTGTAGAAAATTTGGTAACATTTTTTTCTATCAATATATAATACTTTGTTTATCATAAAAGTATTTTTCAATTAAATTAATGACATATTTAATCATTCTTAATCATCTTGAAAAGAGATATGAAAATTTGAATTGTTTGATAAGATTGTGGATGTATTAAATAAATATAATAGTAATATTAAATAAATATAATACTAAATATATATATATATTAAAATGTATATATGTTATTTATATATGATTATTCGAAAATTTTTATAATTAATAAGAATTTAATAATTATTATGTTATTTAAATAAAAGATTTCATTCTCATTTTTAATGCTTTTGCATTACATGTAACAAGATAAAGATATAATAATATTAATTATCAAAAATATCAGAAAAATGTACCTATTATTATATGCAAATAAAATATGTATATTATTTTATATCATTATTAATTTGGCATGCCATATATAATAAAATATTAAATAAAAAAATTCAATCTTGAATGAGATTATGATGGAAGTATCTATGTAATTATGATTTATAATAATACAATTCCATGGTCTCTTTCTAATCTACGTTTTGCTTTAAGAGACACAATACCCATTAAATCTGCAGGAGTTGGAAGTCCACCAGAAGTATTAGGAGCCATTGCTTGTTGATAAAATATCTCTACATTTCCACATTGATTACCATAAACAACAGTATCTTCCGTTCTAGTTAATTAATAAAATATTTCAAAATATTAATATTGCATAAAAAAATTAATGTTATATATAAATGATAATATGATAATAAATGTTATATATAATATATAAATGAAGACTTCAAATAAAGTATTGTGTAATAATAAAATATTATAATAATTAATATAATATATAATATATAAAAATAAAGTATATTTTAAATTTATATTATCATTGCTTTTTAATTTTTGTTAATAATAATATTTTTGAATAAACAAGAAAATGATCTAAAAGCAAAATTACATATGTGCAAAATTATATTAAAATAAATGAACTAAATAAACTAAAATATTTAATAATTACCTGACAGTGATATCTGTAAGATTACTGGCATGTGTAAATCTATCATGAAGACAAGAAACAATGTCTAATTCAGTAACACCCCAAAGTCCAGAACGGTTTACTGTATCCCAATGAGGATCAATACTTAAAATACTATATAATTCTTTATTTTCAGTTGATGGCAAAGGCTCTAAACATTGTTGCAATCTTACTTCAAGTTTCCCTAAAGTATTCACACAAGTTTGCCACTGTAATATATATTATCATAATATGTATTAAAATTAATATATTTAAAAATTAATATATTAAATGTTAAAAAAAATAAAATATATTTACGAGAGAATGTATAAGATCAGGATTATTAGCAGTTCCATTTTCCATTAACAATACCAATACCATGTTATGATGTCCACAGAGAAATAATTCTGTTTTTTCAAGACAAACATCATTTTTGGAAGTAGTTATCCAATCTTCTTCCAATTCATCTTCATCATCACTACCAGTTTCTTTATTAACTGCTTCCAATTTTTGTTTAATCATTTGATTTGTTGCTGTCGAAAAGCCAGATAAATCGCGAAATTCGCTAGGAGTTGTTTCTCTACTACAAAAACCACTAGTTCTTTCATCAGCAAGTAAACTAAGTTTAGACATAAGAGGAGTTAATTGTAAACCATCCAGTTTTTTTTTTTGAAGAAAATCATATACGTTACCACACTCTGTTGCTGATTTTCGTCTATCATCATTTTCAGTAATATTAAGTGGTTTCAAAGGAAGACTCATCGATCTACGATAAGTTTCTTGTTTTACTTTATTATCTAATTTTATATCGCGGGAATTACTTGATTTTTCTAAATTATCATTGATTATAGTATCACAGTTGTTCATTATATTTTTTGCGTTACAATTATTAGTCAAATTTGTTAAAAAATCATTACGATTAATTGTATTATTTCGATCATCTTTCAGTTCTTCATAATGCGAAGATATGTATTGTTCGTATAAAGATTGAGATGCTGGTAATCCATCACATCGAAATACAGGATAACATGGATCAGTAATTGTATGAAATTGTTTTTTATATAATGGTTTTTTTTGAGGAGAAGTTTCAGGAGATATATTTTGTTTTAACTGTGGCAATCCTAATCCATATGTTCTTACTGATATTCGAGTAGAGCATAAATTAGACGATTCTAAATCATGCATACTTAAGCTTTTCTTATTAAATTCTCTCCGTTTAAAAATTTTTTCTTTTGGAATAACGGTTTTTAATTTATTTAAACGTTTACATCTAAGTGCTTCCTTAACGACATCTGGAATATCATCTACATTTATTTTTATTTCTTTTTTTTCTTCCTCTATTTCATTATTTGTATCTTCGTTTGTGTTACATATTAATACAGCATTACCATGTAATACTCTATTAATATCTCTCAAAGGCGTAGAGCACACGCTAGGAGTCAAAGGATTTATACATTTAGGACGGTCTGTTTTACTTTCCTGTTTACGTTTCACTGGAGAACTGTAAGCTGTTAATGGAACAGAAGATACATAGTGACTGTTATCATTGTATTGTGATGAATCTAATTCTCCTTCTTCAGGTACAGTAAAAATACGAGAAGTATCTCGTTTCATCCCAGACAAAGGAGGTTCTTTATTGTTCTTAGACATATTCTAAAAATATAATTATTATTATTCATTATTAGATAATTAATAAATACTTTATGTTTTTAAATATTGCTTACCTTTCTTTGTGATATTTTTTTAGTAACAGAATCTAAATAAGAACTGTAATATCGTTCATTATTTGCTTCTTGTGTAAGTTTTATAAATTGTTTTTGTTCTATATATACTTGTAATAACTGTACTCCCACAGGTAGATGAAATTCTGTTGATATTCTTTCTGCAGGAGCCTAAAAAAATTTTAAAATAAAAAATAAACAATTGATTTCAAAAATTTTTTTATACATTATATAAAAATTAAATAACATTAAGTCTAATATACCTTTATTCTATATGGATCAGTTATAACAATTTGTTTGGTCAATTCAGCGCTCAATTGAGTTGCAACTACTCTAAAATATTTATATTTTATGTACAATTATATATAAATTATTAAAGAAATATTTATTATATAATTATATAATTATATCTATTTATTTATATAATTTATTTATTAGTATTTAACTTACTTGTTATTATAAAAGAGTGCACCACCTATAATACCATTAATTTCTTGAAAATATTGTAAAACTTGAATTGCTTCTAAAAATATATTACTAGCACTCTA